GGATATTGGCCTGTAGTTTTCTTTCTTTGTAGTGTCTTTTTCTTGTTTTGGAATTATAATTATGCTGGCCTCATAGAACGTGTTGGGAAGTCTTCCTTCTTCTTGAATTTTTTGAAATAGTTTGAGGAGAATGGGTGTTAGTTCTTCTTTGAATGTTCGGTAAAACTCCCCCGTGAAGCCATCCGGGCCTGGGCTTTTGTTTGCTGGGAGAGTCTTGATTACATCTTCAATTTCCTTAGTTGTTATTGGTCTGTTCAAGGTTTCTATCTCTTTCTGGTCTAGTTTTGGGAGACTATGTCTTTCTAGAAATTTATACATTTTGCTTAGATTGTCAAATTTGTTACCATATTATTGTTCATAGTAGTTTTTAACGATCTTTTGTATTTCTGTGGTGTCAATTGTTACTTCTCCTCTTTCATTTCTGATTTTGTGTATTAGGTTTCTCTCTCTTTGTTTCGTTGTGACTCTATGTAAGGGTCCATCAATCTTGTTTATCTTTTCGAAAAACCAGCTCTTTGTTTTATTGATACTTTTAATTGTTTTTTTTTTGTTTGTTTGTTTTGACTCTATATCATTTATTTCTGCTCTGATCTTTACTATTTCCTTCCTTCTACTTGCTCTGGGGTTTTCTTTTTGTTTGCTCTCTAGTTCTTTAAGTAGTGAGGTTAGATGCTCTATTAGAGATTTTTCTTCTTTCTTGAGGTAGGCCTGCAGTGCTATGAACTTGCCTCTCAGAACTGCTTTCACTGCATCCCATAGATTTTGTGTTGTTGTGTCTTCATTTTCATTGGTTTCCATAAGTTTTTAATTCCTCCTTGATCTACTCAATAACCCATTCATTGTTTAATAACATGCTATTTAGGTTCCATATGTTCAAATGTCTGTGCATGATCTTGTTGCAATTGATTTCTAGTTTCATGCCATTGTGATCTAGAAGATGCTTGACATGATTTCAGTCTTCTTGAACTTGTAGAGACTTAGTTTGTTTTTTACCATGTGGTCTATCTTTGAGAATGTCCCATGTGCACTTGAGAAGAATGTGAATTCTGTAGGTTTGGGGTGTAGTTGTCTGTAGATATCTATTAAATTTATATGGTCTAGTGCTTCATTTGGAGTCTCTGTTTCCTTGTAATTTTTTTGTCTGGAGGATCTATCCAGTGATGTCAGTGGGGGTGTTGACGTCCCCTGCTATGATTGTATTGCTATCAATTTCTCCTTTGAAGTCCTACAGAATATATTTAATATATTTTGGTGTTCCTATATTGGGTTCATAAAGGTTTATCAAGGTTATATCTTTCTGTTGGATAGATCCTTCAAATATTATGTAGTGGCCTTCTTTGTCTCTAGTTATGGCCTTCATTTTGAAATCTATTTTATCTGATATGAGTATTGCTACCCTAGATTTCCTTTCCTTTCTGTTGCTTGGAAGATTTTTTTCCATCTCTTCACTTTCAACCTAAGTGAGTCTTTTGTTGTGAGATGGGTCTCTTTCAATAACATATAGATGAGTCATACTTTCTCATCCAATCATCTACTCTGTGACTTTTTATTGGAGCATTCAATCTATTTACATTTAAGGTGATTATTGATATGTACTTATTCATTGCCATTTTTGTTTAGTGTTGTTTTATTTTTCTTTCCCTTTCTCCTGTTAATTACAGCAGTCCTTTTAACATTTCTTGCAGTGCTGGTTTTGTTCTAATGTATTTTCTTAACCTTTTTTGTTTGGGAAGCTCTTTATTTGACCTTCTATTTTGAATGATAGCCTTCCTGGGTAGAGTAGTCTTGGATTCACATCCTTATTTTTCATGACCTTGATTACCTCATGCCATTCCCTTCTGGCCTGTAGTGTTTCTGTTGAGATATCAGCTGAGAGCCTTATGGGGTTTCCGTTGTAGGTAACCTGTTGGCTTTCTCTTGCTGCTTTTACAATTCACTGTTTTTCTTTAATTTTTGGCACTTTGATTACTATGTTTCTTGGTATGGGCTTGTTTCGATTCTTCTTACTTGGGGTTCTCTGTGCTTCTTGAACTTGAATGCTTTATTTTTTCACCAGATTAGGGAAGTTTTCTGTCACTATTTTTTCAAATATATTCTCTAATCCTTGCTCATTTCCTTCAACTTCAGGGACTCCTGTGATGCGAATGTTATTACGTTTCCAGTTGTCCCACAATTCTCTTTAGCTGTTTTCCTGTTTTTTAATATATTTTTTTTTTTCTTTTTGGTTTTCTGATTGGTTGATTTTTTTCTACTCTATCTTCTAATTCACTGATCCTGTCCTCAGCTTCCTCTATTCTGCTATTTAGACTTTCCAATGTGTATTTTATTTCTGATATGTCATTCTTCATTTCTTCTTGGTGGTTTTTAATTTCCAACTGGTTGATTTTCAACATTTCTATGTCTTTACTCATGGTACTCATGTCCTTACATATGCTGTTGAGTTTCCTCACGATCATGGCTCTGAATTCTAGTTCTGTTAACTTGCTTAACAGCACCTCATTTATCTCATCTTCGGTAGAGTTCTCTTGTTCTTTCATTTGGCTTTTGTTTCTGTGTTTCATCATTTTGGCTATCTCCGTGGGTTTTGGAGCCTGCCAAAATTTCCCTGTGCGTGTTGGTGTTCTGCTATTGGTGGCTTTTTCTCCTGGGTTTTGATGAGGCAGGGAGGACCCGCGTTAAACACCACTGTCAAGTCTTACTTTCCTGGTTAGAGTTGCTAGCCCAGGGAATGATAGTTATCCTCTAGGTTTTGACCTGGAGGCTATTAGTAGAGTTCACCTGAAGAACCTTGATTTCTGAGTTGAATGAACAACTCTCTCAGGTGCTCAGTGTATGAGGATTTCCAGAGGGTTGGGTAGATCCTGGTTGTTAATGGGCCTCAATTAGCATTTCAATGGCCACTGGGTGGGGTTGAATCTCCGAGGGAGGGGCCACCACCTTTCTCCAGGGCCCTGGGAAGGAGTAAGATGGCCACAGTCCTGGGTGGCTGCAACTCAGCAAATGCTCTGGGCGCCCTCCAAATCCCGAGTGTCCCCACACAGTTCCAGTCCAGTCTGACCTCACTCTGCCAGATCCCAAGGTGAATTGCTACTAATAATTTAGGCTCTGTCCCGGCTGTGCGCTGTGGAGCCACTTGGGACTCTAACCCATGGGTGCAGCTCCCTGCTATGGCCATTGCTCCTCGTCGAAGCTGAGGCAGCTCCCATGTGAGGGCGTAGCTCCTAGCCAAGTGCGCATGTCCCAGCTGAGGACGCTGCACGTCCTAGCCGTGGCTGCCGCAGGTCCCAGCCAAGGGTGCAGCTCCCATCTCAGGTTTCTGCGGACCGTGGGCTCCCGGTCCCCTCTCGCGTCTTTGCAAGCCTACCAGGATTGAGTCAGTGTCCCTGGTTATGTGGTCCTCCAAGCTGCTTTTTGGTTGCCTTTTCCTGACAATTTGTCTTTATTTTCGTTGTAATTCCGGCTTGGTCCTGGAAGATGGTCTGTGTAGCTTCCAGTCACTCCGCCGCCATTTTCTACTTATGCTAGTTCTTTTACACATTCTTTCATTCTTCTGGGTACTCTCATCATCATCACATGATTATTATTATATTCATTACAGAGATGGAAGCTATGAAGTAGCTCACAGATTTAAGTAACTTGCCTGATGTCACCCAGCCAGTGCACAAGCCAGGCAGGATTCAAACATAAGTGATCAGGTTTCAAAATCTGTACCCTTCCTACTCAAATGGAACTCTTTCCCCACATACTCAGCAATAGTTTTGAAGGTACAGCACAGAAGAGGGGTGTGAAAGATGAGCTTCATTTCATAATCATACAGTGGAGAGTATAACCCCAGAGACTACAGCATCAGGTTTCTAGATAGAAAAGAAGCATATTGGAACTCTAGGGCAAGAGTACAAAGGAAAGTAGAGTTACCTGGGTTATGTGGATGCTGGGGCTTAGGACAAGAATTGGTCTAGGAATCTCAGTAAGTCCTTTGTAGTCAAACCCAAGAGAACTGCCATCTGTATCTAGGTGGCCTGCAGACCCAACCTGAATCCAGGAAAGCCCTATCACTCACTGATGGAGACCTAGTAGCACCCAAGTACATTCCATGCAACTTGCACTACATCATACACCACTAGCAGCCACTGGACCATGTAGGATGCTAATGCCTCCCTATTCCTGGCAAGACACTTCTACTCCAAATTCTAGTCACCTCTTTGCAGTCTAATTCCAAAAGGCCCACATCTGTCATCCTTGACTGACATAGGGGTATCTATGGTTCCTGAGCCAGAATCAGTAAAGTAAAATGAATGGGTAGGGCAAAAATGCTGTTTATTTTTACTTTCCACCTTCACTAGGATAGTAAGGCTTCATTGTGAACCTATGTGATAGCTAGGGTCACAGATGGCAGCATAAGTCACCAAAGATCACTGACTCAATCTCTGGTAAAGCAAGGGTCCTCCTTGCATTTTTTTGTAGCAAGCCTCATGTGTTACCATGTGTTAGCTGTCAGTGTGTTAAAAATACTAGCTAAGCTTTGGCCCTTGCTTCTGAATTCAAGCTACATTATCATGTACTCACTGGAGCTACCAGTTATAATGAAGGTTAGAAGACCTTAGTTCAATAGCCCCTCTCCCTTCTCCCCCCAGAAAAGATAAATGTTGACAACAGAAGCCAACAGGATCTTAATGAATTTGCAAATCATTCTCTTTCTTTGCCTCAGTTTTTCTGTATTGATCCTTACCATTGAGTGAAAATCTGAAAGTCATTTGCCAACACATCACAGTTCAGATTACTTTTAGCTTTAAAAGACACTTAAATCCCAGGCTTTTTTCACTTTCTCAGAAAAAAAAAAAAAAGGTCACTGTGTCAGTACAGAGTTAACCCCCTCTTCTCTCATCTAAGCCCTGGAAATCAGAGACAGAAAGATAAGGCCACCAGGAAAAGTCAAGCCCTTCAAAGCATACTTGACTTCACCATGGTCTGTGAACAATGGGTAGAGCAGATAAGCATACCTTTGTTTTCTCTTGTCAGTTTGTCGGCCATGTCCCAGTGCTCGTAGCCTCGCAACACATTGCTAGTGATGTTGACGTGGCTGGCAGCCATGTGGTGAATGCGCTGGGGGATGGTGACTGGGCCATTGTTACAATTCCCCATTGCATAGATGGGAGAGACATTGCTGAGAGACACTGGGGATGGAGTGTTCCTGGGGAATGAGAAGAGACAGGTTTTGTTAGGCTAGTTGGGAAGAGTGACAATGAGCTCTAGACCTCCCTTATCACACTGGGACTTCATGACAACACCATTTGCCACAGTGAGGTTTAGCATGGTGAACATATATGAAGCCCAAGTACAGTGGAATTTGTTCCCACATCAACAGCCATCTTATAATTTTGCCAGCACAGGAGGTTTCTCCAGATGCCCCAACATAGAGAGAGCTTATTATCTCCCCATTCCTGCCTCTTCTGATCAACTCACATAGGTCTATAATGCCAGATCGTAGAATGAGCCCTTCTCTTTTTCTAATGTTAAACAGTGAAGTCACACTGCCTTTGACAACCATTGAGGACTCCCTGTGTATTGCTACATTCATTTAAAAATACCAGAGATCTGGTAAATATTTCCCTGGCATCAATTCTACCCACAAATGTAGCTCTTACTTTGAATATATATAACAAGTGTTGCGATGTTTCAGAGAAAGAAACAGATCAGAGCAATGATGATTTCTCTATCTGCTGCCAGAATGGTTATTGGCAGTTAGATAACACTTGATGTACAATATTGGTCTATCAAAGTGTTTTGTGGAAACCACAATGACCAGCTGCTCCAAATACAGTCACCGCAATGAGTAAAGTGCAATTCTTAAAATCTGTCAAGGGGCAGTATTAGGGAACCTGGAAAAAATAAGATTCTGAAGATCTCTTTAGGATTCTTTAAGACATGCTATAGGGGTGATTGTTAATTACTAACTGTTTACCCGCATGCTGGTTTATAAAGAAAAGAATTTGGCATTTCTACTTTGGGGTAGTACCAATGTTTGGAGATAATGTTTTAAAATTATATTGGCAAGAATAGTCACCTGCTGGCTGCACATAACATGGAGGGCCTGACATTAGGTTGCCCTACTGTAGACTTCCCTAGAGAGAGTCCCAAAGACGTGGGTGGCTTCCTGTGCCCATGAGCAAGTCTATGTGCACCCCTGGGCTCCCTATACCCTGTCATTAACACTGTGAAAAACTTCCCAGGTAAATGCAGCACTTTATCATAATTGAACATTTGAATGGGTGAGTAAAACAAATGGGAGAAAGCTGTATTTGGGACTCCCTAAGTCTGTGCATTTGAGGGAATCTCTTTCTTATTCCTCTGAACACACCCCCATACACCATCAAGGAACCCTATCTCATTCCCTCTCCCCTTTACCAGCCACTGCTGTTGGCAAATCTAGACTTCTGCAGTGACTTAGAGCCAACTCTGCTCATGGATCAGATGTGCACACAGAGAGGCAGCATGCAGAGAGAATGTGAGGGGATGGCAATCACAAGGTACAAATATGCCAAAGTACTGCTGACTCAATCTAGAAGCAATTCAAACCGATCTGCTTGCCGTGAGACTCATGTAGACTGTGTTAATAGCCATGTGAGAGCTTTGTCCATTTCTGCAAACAAAATAAATATATCTTCAGGGGGAAAGTGGATCCTCACTTGCTGTGAACTTGTCTGGTGTAAGAGGGTGTGAAGAACTTCCTGTTCAATTTATAATTCCTAAGATGTTTTAATACTCTTGATAGAAATATTTATTCTCAATGTAGGGGTGAGGTAGGGAGAGGTCCAAGTTAAAGGAATAGCACAGAAGAGTCAACTAATGACATACAGAAACAAGTAGAGAATGCTGGATTTCTTTCTCATGGCAGGTTGCAAATGCTATATTCTAGAATTTCCCTAAGTATTGGTCATTAACTTTTAAATGTCAATTTATTTATTTATTTATTTATTATTTGAATATTTTTTATATATATTTTAAATTAATTAATTTATTTTTGTTACAGATGTTTCTCCTTTTTCCCTCACTGATTCCCCACACCCCTCCCCTCCCTACCCTGTACCCACCTTGTTGACCATGTCCACTGTTCATGCATACATGCATATACGTTCTTTGGTTTATCTCTCCCCCAACACCCCCTCTTCTGGGGATTGTCAGTCTGTTACCCAATTCCACGTCTCTGGGACTACCCCATTCCTCAGACTGTTATGCTCATTATATTCCACAAATAAGTGAGATCATGTGATATTTGTCTTTCTCTGCTTGGCTTGTTTCGCATAGGATAATACCCTCCAGGTCTTTCCATGTCGTCTCAAAGGATAAGAGATCTTTCTCTCTTACAGCTGCATAGTACTCCATTGTGTATATGTACGACAGCTTTTTTATCCATTCGTCTACTGATGGACATTTGGGCTGTTTCCAGATCTTAGCTATTGTAAATAGTGCTGCTATGAATATGGGGGTACATATATTCTTTCTGAATGGTGTTTCAGGCTTCTTAGTGTGTATTTCTAGAAGTGGGATCACTGGGTCAAATGGAAGTTCAATTTTTAATTTTTTGAGGCAACACCATATTGTTTTCCATAGTGGCTGAACCAGTCTGCATTCCCAACAGCAGTGTAGTAGAGTTCCCTTTTCTCCACAACATCGCGAACACTTGTTGTTTGATGATTTGTTGATGGCAGCCATTCAGACAGGTGTGAGGTGATACCACATTGTTGTTTTAATTAACATCTCCCTGAAGATTCGTGATGTGGAGCATTTCCTCATATGTCTCTTAGTCATTTGTATGTCCTTTTTGGAGAGGTGTCTATTTAACTCTTCTGCCCATTTTTTAATTGGGTTCTTTGTCTTCCTTTTTGTTGAGTTGTATGAGCACTCTATATATATTGGAAATTAACCCCTTATCTGATATATCATTGGCAATTATGCTCTCCCATACAGTGGGTTGCCTTTCCATTTTGATGATTGTATCTTTTGCTGTGCAGAAGCTTTTGAGTTTGTTGTAGTCCCATGTGTTCATTTTCTCCTTTGTTTCTGTTGCCTTAGGGGATGTATCAGTGAAAATTCTGCTGCATATGACGTCTGAAATTCTGTTGCCTGCATTTACTTCTAAGATTTTTATGGATTCATGAGTCACATTTAAGTATTTTATCCATTTTGAATTTATTCTTGTGTATGATATAAGTTGATGTTCTAGTTTCATTTTTTTGCATGTAGCTAGCTGTTCAACTTTCCCAACTCCATTTATTAAAGAGGCTGTCTTTACTCCACTGTATGCTCTTGACACCTTTGTCAAATATTAATTGAGCATATTGCCTTGAGTCCATTTCTGGGTTCTCTGTTCTGTTCCACTGGTCTATCTGCCTATTCTTGTGCTAGTACTAGGCTGTTTTGATTACAGTGGCTTTGTAGTATAACCTGAAATCTGGTATTGTGATCCCTCCAACTTTGTTCTTCTTTTTCAAGATTGCTGTGGCTATTTGAGGTCTTTCTTGGTTCCATATGAACTTTTGAAGTATATGTTCTTGTTATCTGAAGTTTGTCATTAAGATTTTTATGGGGATTGTATTGAATCTATAGATTGCTTTGGGGAGTATGGACACGTTAATGATGTTGATTCTTCCAATCCATAAACAAGGTATGTGCTTCCACTTTTTTATATCTTCCTCTATTTCTTTTTTCAATGTCCTGTAGTTTTCTGTGCATAGGTCCTTTGCTTCTTTGCTTAAGTTTATTCCTAGGTATCTGAATTCTTTTGCTGCGATGTTAAATGAGATTGTCTTTTTAAATTTCTCTTTCTAAGAGTTCATCATCAGTGTATAAGAATGTCATCGATTTCTTGACATTAATTTGGTATCATGCTACTTTGTCAAATTCATTTATTAAGTCTAATAAATTTTAGGTGGAATCTTTGTGGTTTTCTACGTATAGTATGATGTAGTCTGCGAATAATGAGAGTTTCACTTCCCCCTTTTCAATTTGGATCCCTTTTATTTTTCCTTCCTGTCTGATTGTTGTGGCTAAGACTTCCTGCACTATGTTAAATAAGAGTGGTGAAAGTGGGCATCCTTTTCTTGTTCCTGTTCTTAAGGAAAATATTTTTAATTTTTGCCCATTGAGTATGATTTTGGCTGTAGGTCTTTCATATATGGCCTTTATTATGTGGACATATCATCCCTCTATTCCCAGATTGCTGAGCGTTTTTACCAGAAATTGGTGTTGAATTTTGTCAAATGCTCTTACAGTACCTGTTGATATGGTTATATGATTTTTATCTTTCATTTTGTTTATGTGGTGTATCACATTTTTTGATTTGCGAATATTTTACCAGGCTTGCTTCTCTTGGATGAATCACAGTTGGTCAAGTTGAATAATATTTTTGACGTATTGGTGCATTTGATTTGCTAGTATTTTGTTCAGGATTTTGGCATCTATCTTCATCAGGGATATTCGCCTGTAGTTTTCTTTCTTTGGAGTGTCTTTTTCTGGTTTTGGTATTAAAATTATGCTGGCCTCATAAAATGAGTTTGGAAGTCTTCCTTCTTGTTGAATTTTTTGAAATTGTTTGAGGAGAATGGGTATTAGTTCTTGTTTGAATGTTCAGTAAAATTTTCCTGTGAAACCTTCCAGGCCTGGGCTTTTGTTTGCTAAGAGAATCTTGATTACATCTTCAATTTCTTCTGTTGTTATTGGTCTGTTCAAGGTTTCTATCTCTTCCTGGTTCAGTTTTGGAGACTATGTCTCTCTAGAAATTGGTTCATTTCTATTAGATTGTCGAATTTGTTGCCATATACTTGTTCATAGTAGCTGTTAAAGATCTTTTGTATTTCTGTGGTGTCGGTTGTTACTTTTCCTCTTTCATTTCTGATTTTGTGTATTTGGGTTCTTTCTCTTTGTTTCTTGATGAATCTAGCTAAGGGTCCATCAATCTTGTTTATCTTTTCGAAAAACCAGCTCTTTGTTTCATTGATACTTTGAATTGTTTTTTTGGTCTCCATGTCATTTATTTCTGCTCTGATCTTTACTATTTCCTTCCTTCTACTTTCTCTGTGGTTTTCTTTTTGCTTGCTTTCTAGTTCTTTGAGTTGTGAGGTTAGGTATCCTATTAGAAATTTTTCTTGTTTCTTGAGGTAGTCCTGTAGTGCTATGAACTTCCCTGTCAGAACTACTTTTGCTGCATCCCATAGATTTGCTGTTGTTGTGTGTTCATTTTCATTGGTTTCAAGAAAGTTTTTAATTTCTTCCTTGATTTCCTCGGTAACCCATTCATCATTTAATACAATGCTATTTAGCTTCCATGTGTTCAAATGTCTTTGCATGTTCTTGTTGCAATTGATTTCTAGTTTCATGGCATTGTGATCTGTGAAGCTGCTTGATATGATTTCAATCTTTTTGAACTTGTAGATACTTAGTTTGTGCCCTAAAATGTGGTCTATCTTTGAGAATGTCCCATGTGCACTTGAGAAGAATGTGAATTCTGCAGTTTTGTGGTGGAATTCTCCGTAGATATCTATTAAATCCATTTGATCTAGCGCTTCACTTAGTGTCTGTGTTTCCTTGTTCATTTTTTTCTGGAAGATCTATCCAGTGATTTCAGCAGGGTGTTGAATCCTCTTCTATGATGGTATTGCTGTTGATTTCTCCTTTGAAGTGCTCCAGAATAATTTTAATATATGTTGGTGCTCCTATATGTTTACCAAGGTTATATCTTCCTGTTAGATAGATTCTTTCAATATTTTGTAGTGGCCTGCTTTGTCTCTAGCTATGGCCTTCATTTTGAAATCTACTTTACCAAATATGAGTATTGCTACCCCAGCTTTTTTTTTTTTCCTTTCCATTTGCTTGAATAATTTTTTTTCATCTCTTCACTTTCAACCTATGTGAGTCTTTTGTGTGTGTGTGTGTGTATATATATATATATATATATATATATATATATATATATATATATATATATAAAATCAGCCACGCTTTCTTATCCGGTCAGCCACTCTGTGTCTTTTTATCAAAGCATTTAAACCATTCACATTTCAGGTGATAATTGATATGTACTTATTTATTGCCAATTTTGTTTATTGTCATTCTATTTTTCTCCCTATTTCTTCTACTAATTACAGCAGTCCTTCTAGCATATGTTTCAGTGCTGGTTTATTGCTAATGTATTCCCTTAGCCTTTTTTTTTTTTTTTTTGTCTGGAAAGTTCTTTATTTGATGTCCTATTTTGAATGATAGCCTTGCTGGGTAGAGTAGTCTTGGTTTCAGATCCTTGTTTTTCATGACCTTGATTGCTTCATGCCATTCCCTTCTAGCCTGTAGTGTTTCTTGTGAGAAGTCAGCTGAGAGCCTCATGGGGATGTCTTTGTAGGTAACCTGTTGCTTATCTCTTGCTGCCGTTAGGATTCTGTCTTTGTCCTTAATTTTTGGTATTTTAATTACCATTTGTCTTGGTGTGGGTCTGTTTGGGTTCTTCTTACTTGGGGCTCTGTGCTTCTTGAACTTGAATGCCTTCTTCCTTCACCAAGTTTGGAAAGTTTTCTGTCACCATTTCTTCAAATATGTTCTCTAACCCTTGCCCATTTTTGTCCTCTCAGGAACTCCTATGATGCAAATATTATTACGTTTCCAATTGTCCCACAGGTGTCTTAAGCTGTCTTCCTGTTTTTTAATTGTTCGTTCCTTTTGGTTTTCTGATTGGTTGATTTTTCTACCCTGTCTTCTAATTTACTGATCCGGTCCTCAGCTTCCTCAACTCTGCTCGTTAGTCCTTCTAATGTGTTATTAACTTCTGCTATGTCATTCTTCATTTCTATTTGCTTGGTTTTCAATGTATCTATATCTTTATTTATGGTGCTGATGTCCTTACTGATACTGTTGAGCTTCCTCAAGATCATGGCTCTGAACTCTACCTCTGATAATTTGTTTAGTTGCATTTCATTGATCTTATTTTTGATACAGTTCTTTTGTTCTTTCATTCAGGATTTTTTTCTTTGTTTCACCATTTTGGCTATCTCAGTTGTTTTGGAGGTTGCCAAATTTTCCCTGTGGGTGTTGGTGTTCTGATGTTTGTGGCTCCCTCTACTGGGTTTTGATGTGCCTGGGTGGGCCTACATTAAACACTACTGTCAAGTCTTACTTTCCTGGGTATATTTGCAAGCCCACACACGGTTCAGTTATCATCTAGCTTTTTCCTGGTGACTAGTACTCTCGGTTACTCTGTGCCTTGCAATGTAGCTCTTGTGTTCTCCATAAGAAGATTTCCAAAGGGTGGGATAGATGCTGGCTGTTAATGAGCCTCAATTTGCAATTTTTTTCCCTCACCTAGGAGAGGCTGAATCTCCGATGGGGGGAGCTCACAGCTCAGGGAAATGACACACTTGCTACCATCTTTTGTGGCTGCAACTCAGCAAAAACTCTTAGTGCCCTCCAAATCCCGGGTGTCCCCACAGAGTTCCAGCTCATTCTACCCTCCCTCTGCCGTCACCCCCAGGTGAGTGGCTATGGGTATTTTATCTCTGTGGAGCGTTCTTGGTCTTTATTCCCCAAGGGCACTGCTCTCAGCTAAGACTGCTGCTGTCCATGGGCTCCCAGCCTGCCACCCTCTGGCACCTCTGCAGATTGTACCAGTGTGTCTGGTTCTATTGTCCTATCCTGCTGCTTTTCTGTTGCAATTTTTTGAGGATTTGTCTTTGTTTTAGTTGTAATTCCCATTTGGTTCTGGAAAATTGTCTGTGTAGCTTTCATTCCCTCTGCCTCTATTTTCCCTTCCTCTAAGTCTATCCTGTGCACAGCTGGGTCACACAGTCCTCTCAGGGTCCCTTGTGCCCTGCAGGTCCTGTGGGTAACTAAGTGGCACAGTCCTTTTGGGGACCAGGCTCTATGCCTATGTAATGTGTTTCTGAGTCACACAGACCTCTTCTGGATAACTGGATTGCACAGTCCCTGCTCAGTCGCACAGGCATCTATGATTGTTTTTTCTCTTATATTCGCTCCATATAATAGCCTCAGTTTTCCCTCTTAGCTAGCAAATCCCAAAATAAGTACAATTTGGTCCTTTACAGTAACAGTTTGCCAAACCCTGTTCTATACCAAGCTGATTTTTATTCTTCCAACTCCTTTTTGTTGTTGTTGTTCTTTCTTCCCCTACAGGCCTCAAGGTCAAGGGTGCTGCTTCTGGAAGGTGCTATGAGAGATCTTGTGTAGGGCCCCTCATTCACTGGAGAAACCAGACTTTATAGTCTTTGCTGATAGACAAGAAGCCTTCCTTAACCAGCGAGGTCCAATTTCTCTTTCTCTTGAGCTTACAGAGAAGTTTGTTCATACCTATCACCCCCTTCCACTGGACTGTGTGCTCTGGAGTGCAGGAAACACATTGAATTCAGTCGTGTCCTCAGCCCCTCAAAAGGAAATGCACCTGAAGTGTTTTCTGAATAAACAGGATTCAACCCTTGGGCCATTGTTTTGAGTTGCACCATTCATTAGCTATTTGGCCTACCAAAAGGAGCATGCTTTCTTCAGACAGCAGCTGCTTAAAAAATTATTTCAGGAAGCTTTTAATATGAGTTCACAAGCGTAGGGTGTGTTTGAGTTTTTTTTTGTTGTTGTTGTTTGTTTGTTTTAAAATTTACATATATATTCTCAGTGATCCTTTTATGGCTGTTTACCTATACTTGCCCTTGATTTACTCTGTGCTCAGATAAAATAGCTTTCTATGGGCCTTTCATTGGTTATTTTTATTTTCTGAACTTGAAAAGAGAAGTGGTCTTTTGCTTTATTTGTCAATATAAGAGTAAGACCTAATTCAACAATCAAAACAGTACTTCTTTTCAATACAGTAATTGAATTAATGCATAGTTTTTAATGGGTCTGTTTCTTCACTCAGAATGTTTTAATGATCTTAAAGTGGAGTTCATCATCCCATTACTTTGGGAGAGTGCTTTGTATATATTTATATAGTGGCAGAGGAGACCTACTCTTGAAAAACGTGCTTTGATTAGAGATAGAAGAATTTTTAAATGCTGATAAATGAAAAAAAAAATCAGCTCTTTGCAGAAGTATGCATCCACAGTCATCTATTTTCCCTTCTTACTACCAGCCTGTGGTAGTGAGGGTGGTATTGGCATCAGAGTGGAAACTAATTATCAACCAAGTAAGCACAGGCACATAGCCAGTTCATGGCTAATCCAGAACTAGGACTCAAAATTTCCCTCTTGGAAAGAATAGCTCTTCAGATGAGCCTAGAAGTCATCAGGTCCAGGCTTTCATTTTACAGATGGAGAAACAAACCAAGAGAAAGGAAGGGGTTCATTTAGCTTACCTTGGAAGTTAAGGGCAGCATCAGGACCAGGCCAACAAATTTCCAGACACCCAACCTAGTTCTGGAAGACTGAGCTGCCCCAAGCACATACAGCCCTAAATATGGCCACAAGAGTGGGTGAGTTCACTGAGCCTTACATCAGCATTATAGTAGATAGATTTATATTTCAGTTCAGGATATTTTAGTATTAATATAAAAATCATCATGAAGGCTCAGATAACTTGCTTACTAAGTGCCTTCACATTTTCAGCACTATTCTGCCTTTGGATTTATTAAACGGCACTTACCATATATCAATAAATATTTCATTGGTCTTTCATTATTGAGTAAATTATTTAAAAATCACCCCATTAAAGTTAACTTTTACCCTGCCTCCCTGAAATAGCTTAGTGCTTACCATCCCATTAAAATATATTTTAAGGCTATAATTTGGCTTAAAGATCAAATAGTTAAAGACATTTTGAATCACATCTTGTTACCTTTTCTATCTTGCCATTAGCTAAAATATGACTAGAACTCTGTATGTACAAAAATTACTATATTCTCAAAATTGACCTTTGCTCCTGAGTTGTTAACACAAAATATTTGGGGTCTGTTGCATCACTAATTTTTCTGAGAAAGCAATTTTCATAAGATACTTACTTTCCATTGCCTACCCATGAAGATGGTATCTGAGTGACTTTTGAAGCATTTTGCTAAAAAAGAGAGAAAGAGAGGGAAATAAGGACATCTATTTGTGTTTTATTAATTCACAAACAGATGGAAGTGTGATTTCGGGTACATTAATATTGACTGCATAATTTCGGAAAGCCTCCTGTTTTTTTTTAGCAGAGCTGGGATGTATGTGCACACCAGCAAACTATAACACACTGGATGATAGCTGGCTAGGATAATTAGTGGGCTCCAATCAGGATCATGAAAATTACTTGATGAAAGATCTTCTATACTAAAAGGCCCAGTGAAATTAGACTCAGTTCTCCAAGAAATGGTTTAATTATCCTCATCTGAATATTACTTTGCAAAACAAGTTCTTCAAAGTACAAGCAATCTTTTCACCTTTAGCTCCAATTACAAACATTTTCTCTGGGATGCAATTTGGGCTGTAATTTCTGATAGACTAGGAATATACTAGGATCAAGCAATAGTGTGTATTTTGTTTTTCATGAATTGACCTGATTTGCTATCTTTATATGCAAATCCTTGTGGCTGACAGTTTTCACTATTTAGCAATGCAATTTGTCCAGGGCTACAATGCAATGGAATGCTCAACATTCTATTTTCCTTTGATGGATCCGGGCTGGTTTAAAGACTAGGTTTGCTGTATTTTTGTGACCAAACACTTGTGGAGTACAGGGAAAGCTGATATTCAGCATCACCACAATAGTACAGTGATCTGGCTCATTATTATGATCTCACCAGGTTGGAGCCCAAGTAGCACAGGGCCTGGATACCTGTGGCACTGAGCCTGACTCAGGGCTGCCTCTCTGGCCTCAAGGCACAGGTTATGCTCTTCTTCTGCCTCTCAGGTTCCCACCCAGCCCCCTTTGCAAATGGGGTATTAGGTAGAGAGTCAGCACTTTAGGAAGCCAGTGAGAATGCAACACTTCTCTGGAGCTCAGAGACCTACACTTAAGGTACATTCGGCAGACTCTAGCTTTTAATCTCAAAGAAGTTCAATGCACTGCCAGAGGAATGAGTTATTAAATGTCCGTTTAGTATTTCATAATGTTCTAAAAGCTACATAGGACATATATTAAAGCGTTGGCTCTCAAAGTGTGATCACAAGACCAGCAGTATCAACATTACCTGGGAACTTCTTAAAATGCCAGTTCTCAGGCCCCATCCCAGATCTACAGTATCAGACATTCTGGGAAATAAGATTCAGTACCCTGGTTTCATGAGCCCTCTAGGGGATTCAGATGCCCACTCAAGTTTAAGAACCACTTTTCTAGAGCATAGGTTGAGATCCTAGACATATGAAAGAATGGGCAGTTGTATTTGAACCTGTCCACCTATATAAACACTAGCTGTATTGCATGATGGCCACACCACATGATAGCTAGTGAACTTGCTCTTTCCCCCAACCTAGCCAGTGTCCTCACATAGCTAGCTGTGCCCTATCACTCACTGGATTTTGATGATTGATGTAAGGTCATGATTTAATTCATTTCAATCTCAAACAACTGCTTTGGTACAATTTAGCCAAATGGTCCCATGTACATGGCAAATAAATATATATATATAGATGATAGATAAATGATAGATAGATGATAGATAGATAGATAGATAGATAGATAGATAGATAGATAGATAGATGATACTTCTTTTCTTTAGAGACCAGCGCAACAGGATCTCTAAACTTCCTCAATTCTACATCATGATCAGGGCTGGGGAGCAGAAGCAGCAGAAGCTCCACTGATGTTCAAGCCAGTTATCTCTGGTACAGTGGCCAGGCCTAGCACCAGGCTACTGATTGCAGTTATCATCTAGGCGTATTCCCAAATTTTGACATTGCATGTTGAGGTTGATACATCTTTTTTTTTTGCTTGCAAATAAAAAACTCCAACTCCCTAGATGGTAGATTAATTCATTTATTTGTTTGTTTATTTATTGTTTATTTGTGTGTTTGTTGGTTTTAGTAACAAAAGCAATCAATTGTTTTAAAGTTTGACCACTATACTTCAATACTCCTCATGGCCAAAAGGCATATGTTGTGAGAAATTTCTGGACTAGCTTTTCATTTAACATAAGACTGGCCATAATCATAGCCACAATCTCTGTAACACTGGTAGGTCCACCATGCATGATGGGGCAGAAGACTTCATCTCTCTGACTGCAACAGGGAAGCTGAAGGGCCATTGGGTCAGTTCGGAGAATAACCAGGGAATTGCACTATTGTTGTACGTTTTCTCCCTGTAATCAAATCAAACATAAGCTCTCTACTGAGTCACAAAGGAGAGGTGGGAGGGCGATGGCCAGCCTGCTGGGATGAGGGAGGTTAATCCTTTGACAGTAACAACCTTGATATTTAATAACATGCTTGCCAAGTGCTATTAGTGATTTAATCACCCAACACCTACAAATTATACAAAATAAGAATTACCTTAAAATATTCCATCAGGGATCTGGAGTACTTCATAGCATGGTCCTTCTTCAATTTAAACATCCGCAAGTAGAGAAGTGATAAACATCGGTAGCTGTAGTGGTGTGAAAAGAATTATGTTAATGCCAGTGCATAAAGAAACCAGTAAACTGAAAAAGAAAAAAGAAACACTGATTCATATTTTGTAGTTATTTTCCCACAGTTATTGAGAAACATAAGTATTACAAAATTAAAATAGAAGGGATAAGCATTAAAATCCTATCTTGATAAGGGTATAAACTGCGAGTAAATGTTTAGTCATAGACTGGAAAAATCCATTAGTTATCCTTTAACAGTTTAATGGAAAACAAGAATTATAATTTGGGCTAAGTAGCTTAAAGTTTATCTGAAGTTTTCAAATTGTTCTGCAACATTTCAGCCATTTTCTCTTGGCCTCCATGAGACTTACCATAATACTGCCAGCTTTTTGTCCCCATCTGATGCCAAGGGGCTTGCAAAGTTCTTCAGTCTCATTGCATACCTTTGAAGAGAAAGGACAAGCACAAGTGTAATCTACATTACCCTTCAGAAAGTCTCCAAGTCATTAATATCCTCATCTTCTGAATGTTAGCCTCATATTTGCTCTGGGAGGAAGGACTGGCTACAAGGGCATGCAGGCAAAATCACACTTTCTTGAAAACATAAACAAATAAAAAGCAAGAATGCCAATGATGTAACTTACAGAAGTTAACTCTGGAGAAGTCAGCTAAATCTGAAGAAGACAGCTAAATCTGGAGCCCATGTTCTAGGACAGTGCTAGGTAACCTTTGATGGTCTGGTGTGTGTATAAACGCTGTTTCTAGGAATACCCTAGCTAAACACTATTGCTTTTTCAATGGGAGGTGGACACAAATGTCAATCTCTGTTGCATTTATGACTGATGAGGTAAATAATATGCAACTATGTCTGATATGAGCATGGGGAGACCACAATCACACAGTTAATAACATCCTTTCTAATGGCTCCATTTGGAATATTTTCCTATATAAAGTGGTTTTGTTTTTTTTCCAAAGGAAGGTCAATTTCACAGCATTTGATGGCCTAAGTGCCATTAATTTATGGTGTTGGTATAATTTGTCTCCATTCTCTTTGTCGCTTTCCACATTGGGGTGATCAAAGGTTGAGTAATTCCTAGTTTTCTTCTAGTTCAGCACATTTCATTCTGGGCATTTATATTTTTGAAAATCAATTCATTGCATAAAATAATTGTCTGAGCTTTAATGCAATTTCATGGGTATCTGTGATGGAATAAGTAACAGAACTCATTGTTGCAGAAGGAAGTTGAAAGTGTGCAGGCGGTCTGGAATAGTTCTCATTTATGAGAAGGTGGTGAAAAACTAGCAGGTACACTATGCTAGCACCATGAACTCCTCATTTTCAGCAGCCTCTCCAAAACAACAGCACCCCTAGGCTTGCCTCCCAAGACTCCATGCCCCCTCCGCATACTCTAGGCCCCTGCTCTCCCACTTATTGCTCCAGTTCTGATCAGTGAACATTTTTCAACAAGAGGCTCCCTCCTATTGTTGCAATATTAAGCAAAAAAATTGTATTATGTAATAAATCTGTCTTTGAGAGTTGTATCACTGAAATGTCAAGTTATCGTGATGTCCTATTTGTTTTCACAAATACATTTCCACTGCAGATTTCCAAGGCTCAGAGTAACTATAATTGAATGAAGAAAATGGGGCTCTCTCTGTGGCCAGCATACTGTTTAGGATAGAGTAATAAAAAATATCTTCAAAGTAATATTACACTACTCAAAACTATGTTCATATTACAGTCACCCTGTAATTACAACACTTTTAAACTGACTTGATAGTGGAACTTCAATTGCTTAAATGAATCAGAAGACCTAGTTGCTTTAGCATACATTATTCCTAACTGAAATTTCTCTAGAAATAATATATATACACACACACATACTACAGTAAATGTAAAAATATAACAGAGAGAGAGAGAGAGGAGAGAGGGAGGAGAGGAGATACATAAAGGAGTGCATGTAAAACTGGTGAAATCTGAATAAAAATGGTGAAATCTAAACAAAGTCTATGGATTATCAATGTCCATGTTCTGGTTGTGATACTGTATTATAGTTATGTAAGATATTACCATTTGGGGACACTGGGTGAGGGTACATAGGATTTTTCTGTATTATTTTTTACAACTGTATATGAGTCTTTAACTAACTCCAAATAAAGTTTAAAAATATTGACTTTAAAGTGAATGTCCATAAATTCTTCTCTGACTTTCATCAAGTTCTAATAAAATATACTTCTATGGGGAGTAAACTATCATACAACAAAAAACATAATGTGCTTAGAAAAAATAATATATCATTAAAAAATAAGAGAGAGTTTTCTAATGGAAATAAATATTACTCAAAGATTCACACTGAATTTTTCCCCAAACCGAAAAGTGATGTTTTGCTTTCATAAATTTAAGAGAGCATGCATTTTCCTAACAGGAAATTAATAAGAGAGAAAATTGTAGAGAAAAAACACCTGTAATTTACCCCATTAGAAATGTAAACTCATTTTCCTTCCAGGTTGGTCCACATGCAGAAACAGACCTTTCATGGTCAGAAATGTAATGTGCATATGAAGGTTGTTTTTCTTTAACATCATGTTATAAACATTTTCATGCAGCTCCATAGTCTCCATCATTTCTGCAATTCAATGGCTGCAAAGTATTTTGCTAAGTGTATTATGATGTAATTAATTACTCTTTAATTATTGATTTTTTGGTTTGCTTATAATTGTGTGCTATAAGTTATGCCAAACAAAACACCATAAAGATAACTTGTTCTTTTCCTACAATTATTTTCTTCAGAAGAGGAAATTTAAATTTTCAGAAATTTAGACAATGCTCAAAAGATATAATGCTCATTTTAATAGGTTCTCCTACACAATGCCAAATTGTCCTCAATTTACAATGATCAATGTCTACTCCCATCACCAGCATAACACAGGCCTAGTTCACCAATATTTTTGTGTGTGTGCTAACACCAGGTATTGACATTTTTCTTTTTCTTTTGGTTAACTTAAAAAGTACCTTTTTAAAATTTGAATTTTGGATAAATAAAAGACATGAATTTCTCCATGTTTGTTCATTGTTTTCCCTCACTTTTTGATGCTTATCATTTTTGTGAGAATTTTCATCTTGTGTTACTTTGACAATTACAGGCAGACTTGCATCGACACTAAATCAATTTCCTTATACCCTAAGAAGCCTGAAACACCAATCAGAAAGAATATATGTGCCCCCATGTTTGTAGCAGCACTATTTACAATAGCTAAGATCTTGAAACAGCCCAAATGTCCATCAGTAGACGAATGGTTAAAAAAGCTGTGGTACATATACTCAATGGAGTACTATGCAGCGGTAAGTAAGAAAGATCTCTTATCCTTTGAGACTACATGGAGGGACCTAGAAAGTAGTATCCTAAGTGAAACAAGCCAAGCAGAGAAAGACAAATATTACACGATCTCACTTATTTGTGGAATATAATGAACATCACATTCTGAGGAACAGGATAATCCCAGAGATGTGAAAGTGGGGTACAGACTGACAATCCCAGAAGAGGGGGTGGTGGGGGAGAGATAAACCACAGAACTTATATGCATGTATGCATGAACAATGGACATGAACAACAAAGCTGGGGACAGGGTGGGGAGGGAGGGGGAGGGGGGAATTAGTGTGGAGAAAAGGAGAAACATCTGTAACAAAAATTAATTAAAGAAGAAAAAAAGAAAATTTTAGTTCAAATAATATTCCAAATTTAGGTGTTGTTTAGTTTCTTTCCCAAAGGTATGTGTATCTCAAGCAAAGAAATAATTTGATATATTTTATTAAATGATTGTTAGGTACATATTTCAAGATTAATGAAAATCAAGATTTAAAGAACACAAGAATTCAACTGGAAGACACTAAGTTTTACATGCACTCCTTTATGTATCTCCTCTCCTCCCTCCCTCTCCTCTCTTTTCTCTTCTGTGTTCCATCCCCTTGCTCCCTCGCCCCACTGGACTTGGGCCTATGCTGGGGCAACTGAAACAACAACAACAACAACAAAAAAACCCACCTTGGATACACTTAAAAGATCTTCTGTATTGACACAATACCAGGATAATTTAGCCCAAAGCCCCAAACCATAGTTTGAAAGGCTAAGCAGCATCACATTTTTAACCTGTAACTCTTCAAACTCAAGCCAACAGTAGTTCAATCTACAAAAACCCTCTACAGGGGCTGTGCCTAAGCATGAGTGGTTCCTCCTCATAAACCTTGGTAAAAGAGGGGAAGGTTAAGCTACACCGGTATAAAATCTACTTATTGTTTACTGTGACTGTGGTTGTAAAAATGTGTTTTTGGTATAAGAAGAAATTATAAATACCCTTATAGATATCTTGTGCTATATTTACATATCTTACACTTGCATTATTATATTGTTCTTATTATTAATTAATACTATATTTCATATAAAAAATCAATTTCCTCTTAAAAGCTACAGAATGGCGGTGGTGGCTTTTACCATGCATGAAGTCAGAGGGAATACTTGACATGATTCTCAAAGCAGATAAAAGTCAAAGACTGCTGCCTGGTCTAGCAAGGCAAGGCAGGATCTTTCCTCATGATCTCCTTACTTTTGTGGCTTTAACTAAATCTCCTTAATCCATATGTGCATTTATTTTCTTTTAAATAGTTTAAATTCTTTAGATAGTTTGGAATGCTTTACTGTGGCAATATGCATGGTAAATTTGTTCAATATTTCTAAAGGTTTAGGTGCACATGTCCTCATGTTTGTAAGCATTTATGCAGATACAAGTAACATAGTAAAAACCTAAAAAACCGGCCTAGCATTAATGATTAATTAAGTCAGAGGTGACCAGAATATAAGGGCCTATCAGGTGAAGAACTTTTAATTCAATCAAAAGCAGTTACTTAGTCAATCCAGCAAATGATGGTGCTTATCCACTATTCAGAGGTGGATTAAATTATTTTCCAAGTATCTCAGGTTACTAGGAAACAGTAGAATGGATATCATTTCTTCTCTTTCTCCTTCTCCCAGGAATATTTTGATTACCCACACATTCTACTCTGCCAAGACCAACAAGCCAAACATTTTCATTTAAAATGTAAATGAAACCAATGATCTGTGCAGTTAATATACCCTCTCCTATTCTCATCTTCTCATCTTTACTCTGCCCTGCTACCAACTTGTCTGTTTCCATGAAATTCCAGATGCATGGAAAGTTTCTGTGGCCTTAATGCTGACTTTGTGTTGGAAGAGTGCTCTCTCCATTTTTAATAACCAACACAGAAAAATACTTACAAAACATGGTTTATAACAGAAATCCCAATAACACTACTTTTTTTGAATTATAAAATCGCACTTTGAAAAGACAAGTGTCAATGCCAAGCAATGAAATTATTATATTCCTACATACTATGTTTCCATTTTAGTTTTTTAAAATTGCAAATTATAATTATAACCTCTGAAGTGGATACTTTATAAAAGCAGTGTGCATCAATTATAAATTTTCCATGACATTAATAAAATGGCAAGAACTAATTATTATGATGTCTAAGAAGATGCCTTGGACAAATCACTACTATGTAAAAATAATATTAAAAAAATACCAGCTTTTAATTATGACTGAAATGAGTTTAGGAAGTTGGCAGAAAGGCCATTTACCTGAGGAGCTCCACAGTCTCAGAGTACATAGTATATGGAGACTTTGCTTCCAGAGGATCGCGCTCCATGGCATTGCCACATTCAGTGAAAGACAGGGCTGCATCGGCATAATTCACAGCTTTGCCAAATTTCTCGAACTAAAACAGAAAGAAGACTCATTAATATTATATTTTCTTCTCTCCTTCATATAAAAGAGGGGTTCTCAAACTGGCACAATTTTGCACCCCTCCCCCAGGGAACATTTGGCAATGTCTGTAGACATGTTTGGTTGTTGCCACTGGGGACAGGAATATATAATGGACAGAGGCAACTAATCATTCCACAGTACAGAGGGAAGCTTCCACAATGGAGAATTACCCAGCATAACAGTGCCATGGTTGAGAAACTCTGATGTAGAATGCATGAATTTGTACAGACAATAATGTAAGTAATTTAAGGTTCTATTGTCATCACATTGAGGCTGTTTGAGAAAAGAAAATTGCAGCTAAGGTATCATGTGTAGTAGTATTATTTATTGTTATCTTTTTGATAGACTAGAATCCAAATCACTGCCTTGAATAGTTTTTATTCATTAAATTGACTAGACTGGTCATTGTAGTATTTGATTTTTTTTAAGCCTCTTGGAAAACTAACACATACAGTCTTCACTTAGAACGCTTTGTGAACACATCAACCTCACCTCAATGAGCAAAGTAACAAATTGATGCTATTGTCATGAAAAATGTGAAACTATAGTGCGACTGTTGACAATAATCACATCACTTTCATTGTAATAATGGTCTGAAATAGGGTATCAAAAAGCCAAAAAATATAGCACTACTAAATATTTTAGTTTATTAAAATTTTATTGCAAATGATTTTAGCCTTGATAATGGTCATGAGTGTAGTGACTTAGTCATAATAATTTCTTATGTGTAATGAATGTTATATATGACACTTTTATAGTGAGTATTTTATAACAGTACTTAACATTTTCAATTTTTATAGCTAGATATAAGAATCCCATTAATGTAGAATTATATGTGAATCAATATAATGCAGATTTAGCTCTTTTAATTTTTTTGTATACCTTTTTTTCAAAATATTTTCTATGCAACTGTGCAGGCTTCAATTCTCAAAATGGCAGAGTAGCTGTCTCTAGCAAAGAATTAAGTACAACTATAAAATGATGAGTTACAGGTCTTACATAATCTCTCATTGTAAATTACTTCTTCTATAATAATTTTTTTCAGCTTTTATGTACTGCAGGGATTATGTGCTTTCCTTTCCATGAGATGTTGTAGAAAATATAATTTTCAATGAAATCCATAGTGATTTTCTGAAAACCTATGTATATGGAAACTATCTTCTCTTGCCTTACACGATAATCTCCTTAGGTCATCTGGCTCCAAAATAGCTCTCTCATTTGGAAATTAATCTTTACATCCTGATGTTTAAAAGTGTGATTTCATTTACAAATCAAGAGCTGGAAGGATCCATAAAAATATCCTATCCCCATCCCACCAACCTTTTCAAAAAGGAGAAACTGATGTCCAGAGAAATTTTATGACCAGCTAGTGGTCAGATTATATCCATTTCCTGGACCTCAATTTCTCCACCTATAAAATAAGAAACTTGAACTACAAGGGGCTTCCAACTCTAGAATAGACATAAGCTTAGCAAAGATATTATACTTTAAATGAATATTTCTCAAACTTTTAAATTATCACCACACGCTGATTGAGCTTTTATAGACATTTCACACATCACCATTGAAACGTTAATACCAGTGATATCCTGATGATCTCTTTATGTAGTGTGGCCCTTTGAAGGGTCAAACACCACTGAAATATCTGACTGTTTCACGCTACTCCAAATAACCATTTTTGCCAGCATGAGGGCAGAATCTCCCTAATTGAAAGTACATTGCCTAAATAGATTAGACTAAAGGTAGTTTTGGGAGAACACATAAACAGACCCTGGACGGCAGAAACTGATGCTTATTCTTAATCATATATATATATATGATTAAGATTATATCTATATCTATATCTATATCTCTATCTCTATCTCTATCTATCATCTATCTATCTATCTATCTATCTATCTATCTATCTATCTATCTATATACTACTGAGGCTCTAATTTTTCTGTTCTTGTAACATTTCACATATATAGTTTCACAGGTGTATCCCAGTCTTCATCAGCTTATGTACCAGCTTGTCAAATAAATAGTTATGTGCTCCCTTGTCCTACTTTTGACACAGAGCAAACTCCAGAGCCTTTTTTCGGAGCTTCAGAGTTGAGGACATTTAAAAAAAAACTTTGGTCTTCAAGCCAACAGCTAAGCCACCAAATCCCTCACCACATATACAATGGTCACAGGCACAGTTTTCCCAGCATCTCTAGTGGAGCTGGCACCCAGCCTGCCTTGTTGTTTTTGTCTGCAGAAATAGAGAAAAAGTATCACCAAGGGATGGTTAACATCACAGAAATGTTAGCTGCAGACAATAGCAGAGCTACTTGGGCCACAGTGAAAAAATTACAAAAAGTAGGGAAGCAGCAGATGCATGTGCCATGGGTAGTTGATGTTGGTCATGTACAAATCATAGTGCAGAGACTGTCATGGTACTCCATTACAGCCATCCTAGTGTCAAACTCTATGAGACAGCTAAATTCTGGCTGGCATAATGCAGTGATATAGGATGATATTATTTTTTAACACAATAGGCTTGAACTGATGTCTCTACTTATGCTGGGGTTCAGTCAAAGGTGAGGAGGCTGACATTAGGGCTTTCTCTAGGATAGTGGTTCTCTCAGTCTTGGCTGAACCTGGGAGTCATCTGGGAAGTTTTAATACCCATGCCCAGTTCCCAGTCTCATAAACTCTGATTCCATTTGTCCAGGGTATGGCCTGGGCATCAGGGTTATTTTAAAGCTGTCCAAGTGATTATAATACATGGTTGAGGCCTCCAGTTAGGAGGATCAATCAAGTCAAACAACTCAACGTGCTGAGCTCATTACTGATCTAGGTGACCAAAACTTTAGAGGCAGTGGGGCCCAGTTTCCTAGGAAATCTAGATGACAGAACTTTCTCTCTTTGTGCAGGGTACTAGCCTGGTTATGGGCATTGCCTTGGAAACATGTAATCTAATGCAACAAAGAGCTAATGTTTTTCTATATATGTATCTGAGTTTTGCAAAGCCCATTTTTGAGGTCACTTTATTAGCTCTCAATAACCCTCTCCCTGCCCACACAGGTTTCTGGTTTCCCAGACCCAAAGAAAGACCCTACCTTCTCCAGAGCAAATTCAAAACTCAGTTCAAACCCATTTGAAAGACAATGATCTCATTTATTTGTTGGATATAATGAACATAACAGTCTGAGGAATAGGGTAGACCCAGAAACATGGAAGTAGGGTACAGACTGACAACCTTCAGAAGAGGGGGTGGTGGGGGGAGGGAAGAGATAAACCACAGAACTTTTATGCATGTATGCATAACCAATGGACACGGACAACAAAGCTGGGGACAGGGTGGAGGGTGATGGGGAGGAGGGTGTCAATGGGGAAAAAAGGAGAAACATCTGTAACAAAAATAAGATAAATTTTAAAAAAGAAAGACAACAATAATAGTATATGCCATTTAGCATGTGAAATTGGGGCAAGGGGAAGAATAGCAAAAAAAAAAAAAAACAACAAATATATGAATGGCAGGATAAAACATGCAAAGAACTTTGGGAATTACAGTGCTAAGGAATTAACCAGCTCTAATCTCCCTATGTCAGAGCAGCAATGATAAAGTTTGAATTGTTTGTAAAGTGCCTTCTTTGTTTTCCTTCAAAGCATAATACCTTAATTGGAACAAAGCAATGAGAGGAAGCAAACCTACTAGTGCATCAGCTTTGTGCTTCAGCTTCTTAGCTTCTTGCATGTAATAACCAGCATTGTGAACCCTAAACAAACAAAATGACCTCTTTCAGAAACAAATGGTTCATCTTTTCATTAAAAACTGAGTATTCAAATGTATCTTTTGCTATAAATCCATTCCTATACAATGCCTTGAGAAGGGCAGATGAATGCTATCATTCATATAATAACTAACCTTGAAATAACTCTGTAAATAAAATCTGAATTGCATAATGACCCATTAGGATAAATAACTACATTCTCCAACCCCAACCATGCCAGTTATCCAAAGAGATTCAACAAAACCTAGCTGTAAACCTCTTTGTTGGCACACGGTTCTATCTGAGGACTGGATAAGAAAGGAGGACAAAGAAACTTAGAATTAAGCAAAAACCCATAGAAACAGTAACAGAGACCACAATTAAAATGGGCCAAATACATTTCTTGGTGAGGATAGGAGTATGCAAAAAGGAGGGATATACTTTTACAGCTACAGGAACTGCTACTGAGGTCGTATTTTGGGTGATACATTACATGGCACTAGAAAAGTAATAATGCCCCCACCCCACCATTCACTACTCCCAAACTGGGTCCATGATAATCTGGGGACAACATACGAGTCATCAAAAGTAAGCTTGGGTCTCCGGACACTGGTGGTGCTGGTGGACAGAAGCGGCAGGGCTGCCCAGGACATCATCTCCAGGTGACTGCTACCCATCAGACGAGTAGTGATGATAGAGGTGGTGGTGGAAATGGTAGTGGTAGTGCTTTTGGTAGTAACTATGGCAGTAGCAGTGGCAGTGGCCATGACAGGGGTGGTGACAAATGCAGTAGCAATAGCAGTGTTGGCAGTGGCAATAGCAGTGTTGATGACAGTAACGGTGGCAGAGGTTGCCTTTTTTGGAGTGTCTCCCTCCTGGGAAAAAGGAGGACAAATAACTTCCATTAGATCTAGCTTTTTAGAACATCTTTTCATAAATTATTTGAATGCCAAGCACACTAAGAAACAAAACAAGGGAAAAGTAAATGAACACAGATTAAGGATTAATAAGTGACCCTGGTTTATTTTATGAATTCTGTGAATTACCAGATTTTGTTTTATGATGATACCAGTAACAAAGCTGGTTAGGTGCTGGGATTGTATAACCCCATCATTTCATGAATACAGTCATTGGCAAATGTCTAAATCTGGTAGGGGGTGTGAGGGGAAAGAGGAGGAATGGGAAAGGGAGGGAGAGAGAGGGAGAGGGTGACAAAGAGATGGCCTTGATGTTTATATTTTTGATAAGTGAACCAGCCCAGAAACTTTCACTAAGTTAAGTACTCAGATCACTCTGCAAAATACAAGATCCAGTGCAGTAAAATACCAGCAAACCATACATTGTATTGACATCACCCTGGGATCAAGGCTGAAGCAGCCTTTTCATTCCCATGAGGAGCTTGACTGATTTCCAGCTGAGTGAATGCCACATGAATGCCTCCTCATTTTGAAGTCTTGGGATGGTGAAAGCTCATTTTGATGAGGTCAAAAAATCAAATGGGTAAAAGACTTCTGAGATTCATTCTGAGTTGTTATTGCCATAGAAATAATGGGATCCAGATGAAGAAGGTAGGTGATAAGATTTGTAATTAGGTGATATCATGTGTCCCAAGACTACCTGGTATATTTGTTCACATGGCAGACTCTAATTTCCACCTGACAACTATGGGGCAGTTCTGATTGTTCTATATCTGACCATACTTGCCATGATACCTCTTCCTCTTTCTGTTTTTCTGAATTAGTATCTACTTTAGCATGGTATCCATCAAGGTTCATTTCTCAGCTCTCTTCTCTCTTGGCCTTGACAGAATTTGACAATCTTGTATGCATTGTCACTTATTTGATAATAATCAGGTAACTCTCAAATGAAAACTTCAATTTTACACTCTCTCCAAAACTCCAGACCTACAGTGACAACCTCTGGATAGTTCCACCCAGATGGCCCATTAGCACCTCAAATTTCTCTGAAACCAAATTGATAACCAAACCAGTTCTTTCTTTGTGTTAATGACCTGATGCTCTCCCCTGTCACCAAGGATGGATTTGTCCATGTCAGTAAGGGTATTATAACCATCCTTGGGCCAGGAGCATTGGAACTTGTGTAGTCCCCACCTTGCCTTTCACCTGCTTTACTCAGCTTTATATATTGAAATTCTGTAAATGAATTCATTTAAAAAAATAATAATGTTTTTAAAACTCTTTTTGAAAACCACAGCTCTATTTGTTCCTTAATATCTTCCTCTCCATTACCTTTATCCAAAAAATTACACATTGTTATTCACTGTATCTCCCTAACATCTCTCAAATCTGTCCCTTTTTATTCTGAAGACTCAAAATGCAGGCCCTTGTGCCTTCTGACTGAGACTATCAAACAGCCTCCTGGCTGATTCTCAAACTCTAAGATAGCTTTTCCAATCCATCCTCCATCAGCTGCCTGCAAGTCCAACCTTCTTAAACAAAGCTCCACACATTTCCCTAACTTGTGCCCAAATACAAACTCAGGCTAGTTCCTTTGCTGGCCTATAAGGGCCTCCCTGATCATCTCCCACAACTCCCTCCCATGAACCATCCACTAAACTAAACACATCCTGCTTGCTTTACTTTCTTTCTTTGCTTCATGATAACTCTTGGGTTTGAACAAAAGCCTTTCTTTTATTAATTTTTCTTTTTCACCTCCTGATAATTCATTCCATATTTTATTTTCTAAATTATACATAACATCAAATTTATCATCTTAACAATTTTTAGGTGTACAATTCAGTAGTGATAGATCCATTCACATTGTTGTCTAAACAATCTATAGGACTCTTTCATCTTGAAAAAATGAAATTCTGTCTCCATTAAACAACATTTTCTCATTCCCCCCTCTCCACGGCCCCTGGCAACTATCCTTCCACTTTCTGTCTTTGCAAATTTGATTACTCTAATTACCACCTATAGAGTCAAGTCAGGATGGTGGCAGGCAGGACCAGAGGGAGGGTGAGTGCATGAGAGAGTGAGCTAGTGTGTGAGAGAGTGTGAGTGGATGTGATGGTGGACGACTAAACTCATGCAGTGCAGAGACTCGAAGCATAAGTTTCCTGCGTTGTGGATGGGAGCAGCCAGCTACTGCAGTAAGCAGCTCTCCAGGGCACTTCAGCCTGCACTGTGGGGAGGTCCCCCCCATTTTGGAAGATCCCTGGGAGGAGGCAGTGAGAGCAGCTGGGGCCCAGCAACCTGAGCCCACTAGTGCACCTGGCACAATTGGACTAGTGGACACCCCGTGTCAACACAGACCAGTGCACAGTAGTGGAGTTGCCAAAGTGCCAGTTGTGGAAGCCACAGACAGCCGGGAGCCCAGCACCATTCCCCACAGTAGCAGCCCAATCAGAGTCAAGATTCACACCCAGCAACAGAGGCTGGGGAGCAGACATCCATCCCCAGGCAACAGAAGCACAAACCAGCAGCTGAGACCCATCCCCAAAAGCTTCAGCAAAGGCTGAGCAGGAGTTGAACCGCACGGGGCAGCAGCACTCCCCAGCCACCAACAGTAGGACCTGGGGCTCCACAGAAGCCTGTGTGATCCAGCAGCCCACAAGATAGGCTTAGAGCTGGGTCTCCAAAGGGACTGAGCAATCCAGCTGCCCATGGGACCTATGGGGTACGGGGCACCAGAGAGGTCTATGTGACCAGATACCCACAAGACAGGTGTGGAGTTGTGACTCTAAAGGGACTGTGTGATACAGCTGTCCATGGTATAGGCAGGGAGTGTGGCTCCAACAGTGCCTGAGCTATGCAGCTACATGTGGCACCAGCGACCAGCTGGGAACACAGGTCCAGAGGGGCCCATGTGATCCAGCAGCAGCACCTACCAGGACTCACCAATACCAGCCCCCAGGAGTCAATCCTCCAGGATCCACAGCAGGCAAGAGGTGACACGCAACAAAACAGTCTGGTAGGCACAGTAGCCTTTTTTGATATACAGTGAGCTGCGTACACATCCAAACATCTCTCAGCGGGTCTAGAACTACCAGACAGCTAAAATAGGCAGACAAAGAAACAACACCCAAAGGAAGAAAAAGAGGAATCACCAGAAAAGGAACTGGAAGGAACAGGAAATGGAAGACAGCAACTTGTCAGATAAAGAATTCAAAGCAATGATTTTAAGGGTGCTCAAACAATTTGGTGAGAACTACAAGCAACTTAATAAGAATTATAAAGAGCTTACTGGAAACTATTTCAGCTTAATAAAGAGGTAGAAGCTGTGCATACAAATCAAGAGGAAATGAAGAATGACATAGATGTTATGAAAAATACCTTAGAAGGGTTTAATAGTAGATTAGAAGAAGCTGAAGACTGAATCAGTGACTTAGAAGACAAGGTAGAGAAAAACACTCAAATAGAGCATAAAATGGAAAAAAAATAAATTAAAAGCAGGAGGAAAGTTTAAGGGAGCTGTGGGACAATACAAATGTAACAAAATTCGCATTATCGAGATACAGGAAGGAGAAAAATAAGAGAAAGGAATGGAGAACCTGTTTGAAGAAATAATGACAGAAAACTTCCCTAAACTGGTGAAGGAAAAATTCACACAAGTCCAGGAAAAATAGAGAATTTCAAGCAAGATGAACCCCAAAAGACCCACAGGTAGACACATCATAATAAAAATGGCAAACATTAAAGGCAAAGAAAGAATCTGAAAGGAAGCAAGAGAGAGACAGAAAGTTACCTACAAGGGAGCTCCCATTAGACTGTCAGCTGATTTCTCAATAGAAACGATGCAGGCCAGAAGGGCGTGGCATGAAGTGTACAAAGTAATGCAAGGCAAGGGTCTGAATCCAAGACTACTCTATCCAGCAAGGCTATCATTCAAATTTGAAGAAGAAATGCTTACATTTACAGATATCCCTTTGAAAGTAGCACAGAATTTGCCTTCACTCTTCTTAGATTTGGCAGAGGTGATTTGTCCAATCACAGGAATAGTTTTTTCTTGACTGAAGGGACCATTATTGCCAGTGATGTTTCTGTGGTGTGGAGGATCTTCTGGCAGTGGGGATAGTGAAGGAGGAAACAGCTTTCCTTCTTTTCTTCTATTTGTTCTCCTGGATGAATTATTTCTGTGTAAACAAAGAGTGTAAGGTGTCATAAAATTTTATCTGTTTTTTTTTTTTTTTTCTTAATTTTCCTATGATGCTGCTACTTTCAGCTGAAGTAATATTTCAGTTAATAGTCCTTTACCTGTGGTGAAGAGTATATATAAAAACATATATAGACAAAGATGTCTATAGAGAGATGTCCCTCTCTACAGATACAGCTATAGATAAATGCAATGATATGTATTCAAGAATAAACATGTCTTTGAACCAAAACTCTATAATAAATGTGTGTCTAATCTGTGTGCTCCAGTGTGATATTTGTAACCTTTCAAGATTACTACTAATTCAATTTTTTAATGGAAAATCCAATGTACACTTTAATCTTCATTTTTTAGGATAGTTTCTACTTATTTGGCCTTAGGACATAACTGCAAAATTACACAATAAATGGTACAATAAACAGTTCGAAGGATATTTTGTTAAGAAATATTACACTACCCTGACCGGTTTGGCTCAGTGGTTAGAGCATCGGCCTGTGGTCCCGAGAGACCCGGATTCGGTTCCCACTAAGGGCATGTACCTCAGTTGCAGTTTGCCCCTGGCCCTGGTTGGTCGTGTGGGTGGCAGCCACTTGATATGTCCCTTTCACATCGATGTCTCTCTCTCTCTCTCTCTCTCTCTCTCTCTCATCATCTCTCTTCCTCTCTCTCTCTCTCATCTCTCTTCCTCTCTCTCTCTCTCACTCCATCTGAACAAAAAATGTCCTTGGGTGAGGATAAAAAAAAAAAAAAAGAAAAGAAAAGCTATGCTTATACATTACTTATAAATGAATAATGCACTAAATATTTTGTTACATTTTTGTATTATCAAAGACTTTATTTCTTAACTTTGTATTTATTTTTGACACTATTTAGATGTCCCCATCCTCCCCCTTTGCCCACCTCCACCCAGCCCTACCTCCCTTCCTTCTGGCTATCACCACATTGATGTCTTTCTCTGTAGGTTATGCATATATATTCTTTGCACTAAATCCTTCAGTGACACATTTCAAATTGCATGTAAAAAATGTTCTGAAACAACACTAAGGCATAATAAGCCCCTCACCTTAAGTTGTTATGTTGAATCACTGATGTACTCCACTTTACCAAACTCAATTTGGAAAATGTTTTGTCATAGTGCCACATGACAACTGTAGTCCTAGAACTACTCCTATGTGTTCAAACTGATTTATCTGCCTATTAAATGGACATCATCAAAAAGACAGAGACTTCAAATGAAAAAGAACAACTAAAACCTTAATGTATTTGCTTAACATGGTAATCGGGTTATGGATTTTCATTTTAGTCACTGTCTTAGACTAATCAATATAGACTACTTGAATTTTAATCTTTTCTTAGATAACTAATATTACACTGTACAGCCATTTGCTTTTCATGATTATTGACTATAATTTTCAATAGCAAATTAAGTCAACAAGGATTTACATCTTCCTCTTGGTCAATTTTAGTCAGTGTCTAGAAATATAGATTTACAAAATCTCAAAGCAACAAATAGAAGATGAACCAGCATTCAAGTGGTTTGATTTTCTAAAATTGTAGAAGTCAATATAGTCTCCTTGTTCCACTTCCTCTGTGTTGCCCAAAATTGCCAATTGTAACAATAGGTGTCATCTTATTCATCTTTTGTTTTTAATGTGGCTCTATGTCAATTCTTATTATGTGGCAAAAATTTTAAAAACTTAACTGTGGCCCTGGCCGGTTTGGCTCAGAGGTTAGAGTGTAGACCTGCGGTCCTGAGAGACCCGGGTTCGGTTCCCGCTAAGGGCGCGTACCTCGGTTGCAGTTTGTCCCCGGCCCTGGTTCGGTCGTGCGGTGGCAACCACTCGATGTGTTCCTTTCACGTCGATGTTTCTCTCTCTCTCTCTCTGTTCTTCTCTCTCCCTCCCACTCTACCTGAACAAAAAAATGAGAAAATGTCCTCGGGTGAGGATAAAAAATAAAAAAAATAAAAATAAAAACTTAACTGTGTCTGCTATTACCTTAATTGATTAAAATTAATGAAAATATTTGCCAATGGATTTTTTTTAATTGCATTGATGTATAGAACACTTTTAAGTAAGGTGTTATGCCTAATTAAAATAATGGTGACCATAAAGATTAAGATTCATGTTCATGAGGAAGATCTACAAACATCAGCCTATACTAAATACAATCATTATAGAGGAATCAGACTTTTGGAAATTTACATAGAAAGATGTTAAGTATTGGCATCTGTAAAGATGTGAAGTATTGGCATCTGTTAAGATGTTAAGCGTTGGCATCTGTTAAGATGTTAAGCTATGGCATCTATAGGGGGTGAATTGTTCATTAGCCATTGGCTACTACAGTCATGCTAGGCCTTCAAATATGCGATTGTACACAGTATCTTACATATAGTTCAGTACATTCTATGCTGTGGGAACCAGTCACTTGGTACCCTTTCCATCTGTTTGGTAGTGATCTAGAATCATTGGGACTTAAATAACTTCACTGGTAAAAAATACCTAGGGAACATTTTTAGAGACAAATCTGTCACCATTACACCTTCTTACTATAAAAATAGTTTTTGCTACTTTCTTCACCTTTTATAGTAGGTGAGAGGAGGACAGCAGATAAAAGAAGTATATCCCTACCCCCATTCAATGCTTCATAGACCTTGCTGATGGTTCAGGCTCCAAAGAAGCAGGGAGAAATTCAGCAGGGCCCTTCTGTTGAATGAAATGAAACTTCAGCTGTCATAGTCTGGTGTGGTATTCTTTGCTAGGTTTAGAATATTCATTTAAAAAGTGAATGTTGTCAGATAAAATTTTCCAAGATTTAGTTTTAAGGATCAACAAAGTGCACAGACAAAGCATGCGGAAAGGTATCCAGGAGAAGACCTCTGAGAGTCCGGTCCATGCTTCATTCTCTATCTGTGATTTTTTTCACAGACATCAATTTTTTGGATGAACATAACAACCTGACTTAGGCCATCCTGAATAAAAATACTACTAAGTAAACACTGTTTTCCTACTTATGACCAAAGCAGAAATACCATAATGATCCTGGGTTACAAACACCATTTAATGAGAACATATTAAAATTATTGGACATTCAATTAATATATGATCATCTCTCTTCCATGAAATGGAAATAGTGACAGGTCATTAGGTCGCTTAAGGAGACTAGCAATGGGGATTGATGTTATGATGATTCCCCACTGTCCCCTGCCTTTTCCTTTTGCCTTCATATGCCTTGAAATGGTTAAAGCCCAGGAACTGCCATTGTAGTCCTTCCTCCCTCCTTAGAAAGGAGGAGGGCCCTAGGATGACCATGTTTGACCACTGGAGAAGAAGCATGTTTCCCCATATGCCTGGCCAAACTGGGGTGAAGAGGATTGGCTTTTTCAACTGTAAGAGTTTCTAGTTCTGAGAACTCAAAGTATGTGAAGAGATGCTTCAGATCAAAGTTATACCACAGAATACGGGTGTATTCACAAAGAGCTTCTGATCCTCAGGTAAGGAGGGGCAGCCCAGGACCCAAATCATCTTATTATATTGAGTGAATCTAACACTAATTGTTCTTTTCCCACCTTTTATTTCAAAACAAGGATCCAAACAAACATAACCCAAGAATTTATTTCTGACATTTTATTTGTGGCAGATTGAGGCCATATCACTGATGTTAATAATCTGTGAAATTGGAGAAGATGGCGGCTGGCAGGACCAGAAGGAGGGTGTGTGTGTGAGAGAGTGAGCGAGTGTGTGAGAGAGTGTGAGTGGATGTGAAGGTGGATGACCAAACTTGTGCAGTGCAGAGACGCGAAGCAGAAGGTTCCTGTGCTGTGGATAGAGCAGCAGGCTAGAGCAGTAAACGGCTCTTCAGGGTGCTTCTCCCTGCCCTGTGGGGAGGTCCCACCATTTTGGAAGATCTTGGGTCTACCCTGGAAGGAGGCAGTGGGAGCAGGTAGGGCCCAGCAACCTGAGCCCACCAGCACACGTGGCACCATGGGACCAGTGGACACTCTGTGTCAACACAGACCAGTGCAGAGTAGTGTAACTCCCAAGGTTCCAGTTGTGGAAACTGCAGACAACCTGGAGCCTAGCACCATCCCCCATATTATCAGCCCAATCAGAGTAGAGATATACCCCAGCAACAAAGGCTGGGGAACAGACATCCAACCCCAGGCAACAGAAGCACAGACCAGCAGCTGAGACCCATTCCCAAAAACTACATCAAAAGCTGAGCAGGAGTTGAGCCCCATGGGGCAGCAGCACTCTCCAGCTGCTGGCAGCTGGACCTAGGGCTCCACAGAGGCCTGGGCAGTCCAGTAGCCCACACGAGCAGTAGAAAGACTGAGCCTGAGAGACACGAGTGCAAACCAGCTGCCCGCTCTCTGGACTTGCAAGGTGTGGGGGCACCAGAGAGGCCTGTGCGAACCAGCAGGAACTATGTGATCCAGTTATTCATGGGACCTGCTGGGTGCTGAAGCACCAGAGAGGTCTGCATGACCCAGCAGGGACTGTGCCATCCAGGTACCCACAGGACCTGGGGGGGCTGAAGCAACAGAGAGGCCTGTGTGACCCAGCAATGCATAATATAAGCATAGAGCCCAGTCCCCAAAGGGACTGTGCAATCCAGTTACCTATGGGACCTGCAGGGTGCGGAAGCAGCAGAGAGGACTCTGCGACCCAGCTGCTGACAAGATAGGCTTAGTGGATGTGAAAACGGAGGCGGAGTGAATAGAAGCTACACAGACGATCTCCCAGAACCAAATAAGAATTACAAATAAAATGAAGACACATCCTAAGAAAAAAGCAACAGAAAAGCAGCAAGACAGGACCATATCACCAGGAACATTGGTAGCATCTGCAGAGGTGCGAGAGGGTGGAGAGCTGAAAGTCCATGGACAGCAGCAGACTTATCTGTGAGTAGTGCCCTTGAAGAATAAAGACCAAGACCACTCCACAGCGCAGAGAGCCTGGCCAGAGCACTAAAATAGCC